TTGCATCAATGTTCATGAAGGAGATTGGCCTATAGTTCCTCTTTTTGGAGGTGTCTTTGCCTGGTTGTGGAATAAGTGTAAAATCTGGCTTCATAAAATGTGTTAGGCAGTTTTCCTTCCCTTTCTATTTCATGGAACAGTTTAAGGAGGGTTGGTGTTAGTTCTTCTTTAAAGGTCTGATAGAATTCAGCAGAGAATCCATCAGGTCCTGGACTTTTGTTTGTGGGGAGACTCTTGATTGCTACTTCAATTTCATTTTGTGTTAAAGGTCTATTCAGATAATTAATGTCCTCTTGTTTCAGTTTTGGATGATCATAAGTATCTAGAAATTTGTCTATTTCTTCAAGATTTTCAAATTCATTTGAATATAGCTTCTCAAAGTAGTCTCTGATGATTTCCTGGACTTCCATGGTGTTTGTTTTTATCACTCCTTTTGCATTCCTGATTTTACTGATTTGGGTTTTTTCTCTCATTTTAGTCAGGTTTGCCAGGGGTCTTATCATCTGTTTTTTTTTCAAAAAGACCATTTTTGTTTCATTAATTCTTTGTATGTTTCTTTTTCTTTGGTTTGTATTTCCATTGATTTTCAGCTCTTATTTTTTTATTTCTCTCCTATTTTTTGGGATTTGCTTGTTCTTGTTTTTTAGGAGTTTGAGATGTTCTCATTAGGTCCATTAATTTGGGATCTTTCAGTCTTTTTTCAATATATGCACTTATGGCTATAAAACTTTCCTCTCAGTGACTGCCTTTGCTGTGTCCCATAGGTTCTGGATAGGTTTGTGTTTTCATTTTCCATTGACTTCCAGAACTTTTTAATTTCCTCTTTTATTTCAAGCAATGACCCATTTTTCATTAAGCAATGAATTGTTCCGTTTCCAACTGCTTGCATGTTTTTGTCTTATTTTTGTTGTTGACTTCTAGTTTTAATGCATTGCGATCAATAGAATGCACGGCATAATTTCTATTTTCTTATATTTGTGAGGCTTACTTTGTGCCCTAGAATATGATCTATTTTGAGAAGTTCCGTGGCTGCTGAGAAAAATTTATTGTGTAGAAGTTGGATGAAATGTTCTGTAGAAATCAATTAGGCATTTGATCTATGGTATGTTTAGATCTAGGATTTTCTTTATTGACTTTTGTTTGGATATGACCTGTCTATTGATGATAGTGGGGTTTTAAAGTTCCCACTACACTGTGTTGGAGTTTAATATATGCTTTTAAGGTCCTTAAGGGTATGTTTGACTGAAATTGGTGCATTGATATTGGGTGCATATAGGTTGATAATTGTTATTTCTTTTTGGTCTATTTCCCCTTTTATTTGTATGGAAGTATTTCTTTTTTTTAATGGTTTCACAGTCATACTTTTTCTTTTGTTATAATTTACTTAACATTCTATGCAGCTCTAAATCTCAAATTCTCAAGAAAGGTAAGGATTTGATTTAAATTCTGGTGAAGACTTTAGTTTAATGATGACTTCATCAGCACACTGTATTAAAACATTCATCAGGCCCAATGTGGAACTCAAATATGTAACTTAGGAGCTCTCCAAAATCTGAGTTTCATTTAATATATTTCAACTATTTTACAGGTTCATCATGCTTCTTAATCATAGACACAAAGGAATAGTCTTACAGCTAGAAATGAAGGAATTACCTTACCTGGTAAGATAATTTCCCTGGTAAGAAAATTCCCTTAAATTCATCTTTTTCCTCAACCGCTGTCTCAGCTAATTTTTGGGAATTTTGTTTTTCTTCGGCCTTTTTTCTGGTGACATTGGGGTTTCTCCTCATGGTCTCATGCTTGCTAGGCCGACACTCTTATCTTCTAAGCCACACCATCTGCTCAGCCTTTTCTTTTTTAAGCTTTGTCTGTTATATGCCCCTGGCTCCATTTTACAATCATACTTTTCTGAATTGGTAACTTTATGTTTCCACTTATGTAAAGGCTTAAATAAGATCTTTAAAAATCCTGATTCCTCTTAGAAACTGGACTTTTGTGACTGGGCTCTATGACCTACCAACTCCTCATGAACATGGGCATACATGGCCCTACTCCTCCCTTGCCTTACCAACTCTACTATTTCCCATGCTTGGCTGGGTTGGTCTTTACAACTGCCTTCAGATATGCCATAAAGCCTTGCAGCACACATGATGATGGGAGAGAGGCATGATGGCAATGACCCAGGAAACCAGGGGAAGACCCAGCAGAAGCTACAAGGAAGCTAATAAGCTACACCCAGAGTAAGTACCTGTAGAGGAACCACAGGCTGTTGTGGACTGAGGCAGAGTCTTTCCAGTTCTCCTGCCACTTCTGTCTGCCTCCTGCTGAATAGAAAATCAGTATTTCATTTTTGTAAATGCAACCATCACCTATGTCAAGTTTTAGAGCATTTTCATCACTTCATAAAGCTCTCTATATACCCTTTTCTCTGTACTCAATCCTGTCCTTGGCAACTTGCAACCTCTAATTTGCTTTTTTGTCTCAAAAGATTTGCCTTTTTGGAAAGAATAGTATGTGTTCTTTTCTGTCTGGCACCTTTAAAATATTAACACAGCATTTTGAGGTTCATCCAAGTTTTCATCAGACGTTTGTTCGCTTTTGCTGAATTGTATGACATACCACCTTATTTTTAGCTATTCATCACTTGATGGTCATTTTAGTTGTTTCACTTATTTTTTATTAAAGAAAATTAATGTGCAAGTCTTTCATGGACATGTTTTCATTTTTTCTTGGATAAATACCCAGGAGTAGAATTCTAGTATTTGTGCACTAAGTTTTTGTTAGGCTTTTTTGAAAATATCAAACCCAATCTATTAGTTACATTTAAAAGGGACATTTTGGCCAAGAATTTTAAAAGGCAGAAAGCTTTCTAGGAAAAGACATGTACTGAGTAAGAAAGGCAAATATCTGATGGACAGTGGCTATGGTTTTACTAAAAGTACACTGGCTGTTGGTGATGAGGCCATTTCAGAAAGAAACGTTGACTTATCAAGCCTGTTTTTATTGCTTAAAGCACTATGAAAAGGGGAGATACTCCCAGAGAGCAGAACCAAACCATAATCAAGGAACATTCCCTACCCCCAGGGTTGGGGTTCCTTGTAAGAATTAAAAATTCTGAGGAATAGTGATTTCTTTGTGCTTCCCATTCTTCCTCCTTTTGTGTAACAGAATATTGCACTGTCCCTGGTATACCACTGTATACTGGAGATGTGGAGATCACTTATTACTCTTATTAAGGTTACCCAGAACACAAGGTTATTCATGATAAACATACCTTACTCATCATTGCTTACCTTGATGCTATAATTTTGTCTTATAAGAAACAAAAACAGGGTCAGCAAATTATGGCCAGAGTCCCATCTGATCATGCTGACTTGTTTGTTTTATTTATGGCTATGCCTCTGTTATTACAGCGGACATGAGTTGTTCCTACAGAGACCAGGAGCTTCCCAAAGCTAAGGATTTAGCTTTATTGAAAAAGCCTGCCAATCCCTGAAATAGGAGATATCGATGCAAGAATAATAAAAATACTAACTTAACTATATAATTTAAAAGCTGTAAGTAATTCCAGGAGTATAGAAAGTAGAGAGTATCACCAAGGCCATGTAGAAAAGACTTGGAGGAGGTGCCTACAGAAATAAAAACAGCAAAAATATATAAAAGGTTGAAAACTTTTGGGCCACAGAAAAATAACATAAGGATAGGAAGGAAAGAAAAAGATAAGAGGATGGAACTTGCCAATTAGTTTAGATGCAAACTCTCTTAAGATGGTTCACAAGGGTCTTTCCATCTTTATGGAATACAAGTCACATTCCATAGGCCTTTAGGATACTACTTACAGTTATATACTTGCTTTCCAGCTGGTAACCTCACTCTAGAGGCAAGCTCAGAGATAAGAATTTTGTGACAAATAAACATAATTGATGGAATTCTCATGAACTATACTACAATTTAACCTTCATTTCCCCTGCCATTTGATATTCAATATTTATTCAGCATCAAAAGAATGAAATATTCATTTTCTACCAAGTCAAGGTCATATAACTATGCAATGTATAAATCTGCAAACATATCACTGTGTTGCTCATATCATTTGTGGAATGCTCCTTTTATTCCCCACAGTACCACAAGGCCAAAAAGCTGGACAGATTAGTGGGACTTCTAGTGTTAAAAGACAAAATATTATTTTGCTCAAAACAGAAAGGCTATATTATATGAACAGGTCTACATGAGTTATTTCAAAAAGCTTTTGAAGATTCAGTTTGAATCAAAAAAAATTTATTGCAGAAAGATAATTTACATTGTTTCACATGAATGTAAAAATACCTTATGCTCAGCACTAACATTTGTGATAATATTATTTTATTAGCCAGATAGCTAGGTACATCTTCACATTCTGTTTATATACTTTTTTTTTTTTTGGTAGTAGTGGGGCTTGAACTCACTACACCTTGAGCCACTCTGCTGCCCTTTTTCCATGATGGATGGGTATTTTCAAGATAGGGTCTTGCGAACTATTTGCCCAGGCTGGCTTCAAACCATGATCCTCCAGATCTCTGCCTCTTGAGTAGCCAGGGTTACAAGCATGAGCCACTGGCACCTGGCTATACTTACAAATTAATTGAGCCAGGAACCAGAGTTTTCAAAAAACTCCAATATGTATAATTAAGAGAAAATGACTTGCTTCTCCACACCCTTAATCCACCCACCTCTCTAGCTCCACACAGGGAAGCATGGCTCCATTTGAACTGCAACTGCTTCTGGATGGCTCCTCACACAAAATTCAATGGCCTAAGACAAAACTGCTCAGGACTGCCAACAGAAATGGCAGACAGAAGCAAGGCAGGGAGCACACAGGATCAATGCTGGGACCCTCACATTGCCTGCACCTATGAGGTGTACCACTCGTCACCCCTAGACAGTGGCTTTTAAAAACAAGTCTTCAATTGTAAAAAAAAAAAAAAAAAGAGCCACAATGTATCAATTGTTAAGTAAATTTTAATGAAAACAATGTAAATTAAGTAAAACATGAATTAAAATAGGGATGGGAAAGAGGGAAGAAGAGGGGCAGAAACACCTTCTAATCTAAGATGTTAATCCAAATTCATATAACTACAGTCCTAATGTAAAGATATGAAGCCACATGCTTATGGCCCATGCCTGTAATCCTGGGTATTTGAGAGGCTGAGATTGATACGATGATGGGTTCGAAGCTAGCGCAAACAGTTCATAAGACCCTATCTCAACCAACAACAGCTGGGCGTGGTGGCATGTGCATGTCATCCCAAGCTATGTAGAAAGATGAGATTGGGAGGATTCTTGTTCCTGCTCAGCCAGGGAAAATAAAAGTTCTTGAGACTCCCATCTCACTAGAAAAAAAGGTGGACATAAGTGGTGTATACCTGTCACCCCAGCAAGGGGGGGGCAGCCTAAAATAGGGAGACTGTGGTCTAGGCCAGCATGGGCAAAAACTGAGACTCTATAACCAGAGCAAAAAGTACTGGAGGTATGTCTCAAGTGGTAGATCACCTGCCTACCAAGCGCAAACCCCTGAGTTCAAACCCCATTACTGCCAGAAGGGAAAAAACAAAACAAACAAAAAAAAATCATAAAATTTTGAATTCAGAATCTCAACATAAAATTTCTCCAGAATTCCCATAAAATATACACTGTCCAGAAATAAGCTTCTCATTTATAATGTATACATTATGTAACAAATATATACAGTATTTTAAAACAAATCCTTTAAGACTGTATTTAGCAATGTTCCTCATCCAAGGAAACATGTGCCATTCTCTTCTTTGTCACTTGGAAGTCTTCATTATACACACTGGTTGCTTCTAATGTGGTTTTTCTTACTGAACCAAACATCTTGATGGGCCAAACCCAGTTTCATTTTCTCCAGTACTACAAAAATTAAAAACAAACAAATGGAAAATAATTGACTTCACTGTTCATAAAGACAAATAGTGTGTACTTCCCAAGAGACTTCCATTAAAATAAAAAGTGAATTAACTATTTTGCTAAATACCATTAGAGGACTGTGAGTGATCGCAATGTACACAATTCGCGAGGCTTGGCTTACAAATCGGTTATGTGAGAAAATATTTAGAGGAGGAGTTGTTTGCTGACTGTGAGCGTAAGATGACCCAATTATTATGTGGTATGCAAAAGAAAAAAATCATCCAAGACAAGAAAGGCAAACATTCCACTAATTCTGTGGGGATCAGATGATTTTAATATATTGGGAAGTGTGTTTAGTCCTCGGTCACTACATTTTTAGAGAGCTGCTGAATATCTACAGCTTATTATAGAATGCAAACACTCATCCCACAAATTTCCATTTGTGGCCTAAACATCAAAGCAAAAGAAGTGAAAAAAAGCTCAGCAAACAGTTGTTTTGGGGTCAAGACAAGTGACTGTGTTTAGTATCAGGATAACAACTAGAAGAAGAAAAAACCAAGATTTCTTGGTCTGGGTGAATAAACATCATCTCATTATTCCTCTCCAAGAAAACCTGAAGGGAAAAATTTGCTGACAAGCATGTCTGTGTATGCATGTGCACATGTCACTAAAAATGTGAATGTGTATACAAGAAAAAAATGTCAATATCCTGTCTGATTTTTTAATATGAAACAATTTAAAGTTGCAATTCTAAAGAGAATATGGCAAGATTTATTTTTTAATGTTAATAAAAATGTAATTTGCAATTTCAAAAGCAATTTAAGTATTTTCTTTAAAGGCAATATCAGAGAAAATAACCTTTTCAAAGAAATAGTCCTTAGCACTCATTTGAAAGCACATACATTTATTTGGTGCCTACTATGTGGCAGGTTCTGTGGAAAATATGAATATGCTTCAGACAAACATTGAGGAACAAATCAGCATACCTAGAAAAAAATACACAGACATATACACACACACACTCACACTCAAAAGTTGGGTAAACAGGTAGAGAACTCATTCCAAGCCAAGGGCAAAGGTATAGTTCTGGCTACAAGTGTCAGGGGAATATCAACGTGAGGAATCTTCACCACGCAGTAGATCATAAGAGCTTCAAAGAAGGTTCTTTTTAAAGGATGTTAGGAGATGATAAAGACTGAAATTGCAGGTAAAGACATGCCAGAATATTGACATGCCAGAAGTCTAAATATCCTGGAAGCACTTTGGAAACAAGGAAAGGGTTTATCTATGTTTTTATGTATGAGAAAACTAGAGCTATTGAAAAGATGGTCTTAAATGTATTCTTCAAAGTGTACCTTTGGAAAAAACTTAGTAATACTGTGTAGCAAAGTTACTCCCAAAATATCCAGCACCCTATATACACCTGAAGAAATGTTATAAAAGGGCTTAACATAACACACAGGGGCAAGAAAACAAAACTAACCTTATTTAAAGCAGTCAATAGAGCAAACAAGGAATCCTTACGAAGGATTACATTAAAGTGTTTGAAAAATATCCTCACAGAAGATAAACTAAATTTGTATGGATGAAAAATAAACTGCAGGACATTGTAGCTAAAAATTCGGGGCATTCTGTTGACTGCTGCTATTACAATAATTAACTAATTGGAAGACCTGGAAACATTTGTCCTGTAGAAAGGGATTGCATTATCTGTGTTTTAATGGGTAGCTGTGAAGCAGTGTTGACCACAGACTGCACATGGGGGTCAATGAAATTAAAGACTTGTTTTGGCAGATGTGCAAAGTAAATGCTATCCCGTATTTATGGTATTTGTCTCAGATTAACTGTTCCCAGTAACTCCCTTATATATCTTTTTTTACTTTTTTTCAGCTGTTTGAACAGCTGACTTTTTTCTTTTGATGGTCAGATGAAAGACTAAAGAGAAGAAAAAAGATCATTTTTTAAATTTAAAAACTCAATCACAACAAAATCTGTTAGTGTTTAATAAACTAAAGCTTAAATGTATCATCAAGAAAAACATTTTATAACTAGTGTTTATTTTCACAACCCTAGGTTTGGATTTGAATCTGGACTTTATCACCTACTAGCCTCAATTTTCCATATGTAGAATAAAATAAAAGCCTGGTAATATGCTTACTTCACAGGTGTGAGGATTAAATGAGGTGATGTAGAAAATGCACATTACATTATTTCTGGCACATTTAAATAATAGGCTGGGGTTATTTTTATTATTACTGTTTCTTAGCTGTTTTTGCTATCGCTACTGTTATTCTTCTTAAGGAAATGCAAATAAACTGGGAATAGATGTAGGATATACAAGATGATACAAAATAGCTTTGTAATGATGTAATAGTGACATGTTATTTACTTAAGCCACTGGTAGGAGAAATTGTCTGGTTCTTTAGAAAATTACTAAAACGCAAAAAATTATTTTAGAGAATTTTTATTTAGCTACAGAATTCAATATATATTTTTTTCACTGCTATTTTTCATTCCTAATGGTAAAAGTGAAGCTTATATAATGGTAACCCAGAAATGACAGTCTATTCTTTTTAAGGGACTTTGCACTTAGGAGGCATGGTGGAACCTGATGTTTCAAACAGATTTTAGTCATTATACAAAGAGATAAGGTAAGGAGAACTGAATATAGAGAGACTAGCTTGTATTAGGTATACTGAGTGACATTAACTTTTTGGTTTAAACATGGTATTTAAAAATATTCAAGACTGGTCTGGGGCATGGCTCAAGTGGTAGAGTGCTGGCCTTGAATTCAACACAGTACTGTTAAAAAAAAATAAAAAAAGAATATTCAAACTAGATGGCTTTTGAAAACCTTATAAGTAGTATGAGTAAGGCACTTAGCAGAATTAGGTTTTACTGGTCAATTTACAAATATAGGGAAGCTTTAAAAAGAACAACACAGACTATGAGACAAAAGTGGGTCACCAAAGGGGAAAGAATGTTAAACTGAATAGTCAGATCATAAAAACAAACCACAAACACAGTAAGATCTGCACTTACACTTGGCATAAGTACCAGCAATACTTTAAACCTGTAGTAGTTAATGCTACTATATATTTATGAACCCATGTACCTACATCACAGCTAAAGAGGAAATGCCTCTCAATATTTGCAGCAGGAAATGGTAAATTCATAAAATGGGGCTTATGTTATTTTTATTATTAAGAACAGTTCTATTTGCTACAAGACAGGGTGTTATAATTAGAAAATTAGGCTATATTTTATTTTATACTTATCTGTCTGTTTACAATCAGGCCCAAAATGATACATGTCTAGGCATAATGACATTGAATAAGATTTTTAAAGAAAAAAAGTAAACAAAAATTCTTGTGCGTGGTAATTTTCCTTTTCTACAATGGGTATTAACTGATGTAGGGCCCTTAAACGGAGTTAGCTTCATTAATGTATCATGTGAGACCAAACACCAAATAAAGTTCACCAATCAAGTGGAGAATGCCTGCTTAGCAAGCACAAGGCTGAGTTCAAGCCCCATTACTGCTAACAAAAAAAGGTGTATCTTTACAGAAAAATACACTGTACAGAAAGTGTGCCTGTCATTTACTATTATATTTGCGATTATTGAGAAAGCTTAAACAGAAAAATAAACAAATATTTTCTGACCATAAAATAGCAGCTTTTGAGGAACTAAAACCAAACAAAAGTTCTTACAATACAAGAGTACAAGCACTGATTTCTGGAAAGTTAAAGGTATTCCAAATTTGCATATAAACCTAATACAAATGCAACTATACACAGTTGTCACATTTATTATAGGATAGAGGCCCAGGTAAACTTTCTGAACTCAACCTATTCTGTTTTATAGTCTGAAAAAAAAAAAGTATCTCTAGCTCTAATTTGTAAATTCAATTAATTACATTATGTATTAATATGTGTAGAAACTACACTCCGTTCTCCAGAAGTCCTAATAATCACTGAAGAGACACAGGCATGAAAAAGCAGACACAGAGACTACCATTAAAAAGCCTAGTCTTTACAGCCTTAATTGACACAAACTATGTGTCCTCTACTTTTTCCATGGACCAGATTCAAAACCCTTTTAAAGATCATTTCTGCAGGAGTGTTCTGATGTTGTAATTTCTAAGACAATGACCCAAATAAAAGTGTTTTTTGTAGAAAACTTGTATCACTAATAGGTGAGTATTGCTAGGCAACGAATATTGCAGTGTTTAATCTCTACCTTTCCCAAGAAATTGCAGGATGAAAGAAAATATGCTTTTTCACCATTCCATATAATAGTTGCACCTGGCAATTTTTATTCTCTTTTACAATATAATTCTTTTCATGTTAACATAACTGCAATGCTTATTAATATATATCTATCTACTCTCATTTTTATCTATAATGATTAATTGGAATGAACTAAAATTACTGTAAGTCAATTACCAATATTATGTACAAAAAACAGACGGTGGTCACCAGAATTTTGAGTGTGCATGTAATTTATTAGTGTTAACACTTGGACAATACACTTGTACAGATTTGAGTTTCAAAGAGAAAATAAACTTCCCCAAAGATTAGATAAGAAAGCATGGTGCTTCTGTAATTTTGTAAAATGAAAAACTTATTTGAAGATAAAGACCTTAATTTACTATCCCATGTATACGTCAACGACTAAGAAAGTTCCAATGATACTAAACATCTTTAGGTTACTCTATTTCAATATTGTTTGAGTTGCGTAATAGTATAGGCACAAATGACATATTTAAAGAAACCTCAAAAATGACACAAGCATTTTAAATTCCTCTCTTAGGATAAAAATATGTGATAAGTTAAATAATTCTATGTGCCAGTCTCCTTATCTATAAAATGGGGACACTTACATGGTTATAGTAAGGACTGATCTGTACTAAAAACTTGTGACACACTATAAGAAATGCAAAGTTTAAATAAATAATGAAACTGTTGTTTTCCCCCCAAAATTCATCATTATAAAATAGCTGACATACGATCTTCAAAAAGCTCATCTACATATTATCGTCACATTAAACTTCTAGATTTATAATCTAGGATGATAACAATAATCCTTCAATTGCTGGAATCATCTAGATACTTCTAATTTTCATGTTCTACAACTGATTTTTCTACACTATCATGTCAAGAACCTATTCTCATCCCAAAGAGTTGTAACAACCAAGTCCAAAGCAATGTAACTAATTATCTAGGACTTCTACGTCTGTTATTTTACTGAAAAACTGTAAAACAGAAACCTAGGAAAGAGACTTAGTATTTTTTTTCCGAAGTATAATCATCTCTCAGTTAATGCTTATAAAATGACCTCGCCAATGTGCAATTTAAGAATATTCTTATCTCTATTACCAATTCCTTTCATCAGCTATGTGCATATTTTCTCTGTGATCAGAAGAAAAGTGGTATGTCAATTACGCAAAAGAGTTCTCACCAGCTTTCTCAATTTAACCACGAATGGGCCAAGGGTGGCATATTCTATTAATCTTTATGGTATCAATATTAGTTTTATATTTAGAAAGAAATTAACCTTTGTGTATCTCTGATGTGAAATTTAAATAAAAAATAATGCTAGTTTTTACTTCAGTATCAGCTACTTTGTAGATGTGCAAACTGAGGCCCAGAGATGTTGGCAAGCCAAGGTCCTTCTATTAACACAGCCCCCTTTTTTATATGCTCTTTCTTCCATCTTTAATACAAAAAAAATTTTTAAAAATAGTCTTTTGATACTTAGACCTATCTGGTAAAATAGACATACAAATTATCAGCAATTCTAAAACTAGACCACCAAAATAAAGCATGCCACTAGTTTATTCAGCAGAATCTAAAGGATGAAAATCTAAGCTGGAGCCTAACATGTGAGTAGCAGTTTAATCTTCAAAAGATGTCACACTCAATTCCTTTCCTTTTTGTACAGGAAGCTCTCTCCTTCCATCAAGAGGTAGAATTTATTTTCCCTGAGAATCCAGGGTGTGCTTGTGACTTATTTTAAGAGGCCTAGCACGTTTGCTCACATATACTCTTCAGGAAACCAGACACCATGCTGTGGAGCAGCAGCAGTGAGAGAAGTGAGGAAAACAGCCACATGGAGGAGCACCAAGTTGCCAGACTTGTGACTGAAGCTTGCTAGATCTTTCAGACAATCTCAACCACCAGCTGTGTGATTGAACCCAGCTGACATCACAAGAAACAAAAGAGCTGTACAGCTGGGCTCTGAATGAATTCCTGAGTGAAAAATTTTAAGCAACAATAATTCATTATTGCTTTCAAAGCTGATCAGTTTGGAGCTGCTTATGTAGCTATAGATAAATGATATGAGATGTTAGCATCACTAATTTCAATTGTGAAGTTTTAGCTCTCTTATGTACTATAAATGACCAGGAAAATACAGAAGAAAAAGCTAGAGTCTACAAGTATGGAATAAGGACAATGCATAAAGCAGAGAAATGTATGCTGTTGTAGACAGGAATGGAGCAAGACAGAAATGACCAACTGTGAAGAGTAAACCCCTACTAGAAAAACAGAAAGACATAAAAGTTAAAAGTTTCTGACCTCAAGCACACGGCAATTGTTTGGGTTTAAAACCAGAACCACAAGGCACATATACAGAAACAGAAGCGAAGAGGGCCGGGCGGGCCTTGGTCATTTACACCGGGCAGTGGTGAGAAAGACACTGAGGATTGAGAACGATTTCAAAACTACCAAAATAGGAGTTAAAAAATTTGGGTTCATGTCTTGTTTCTGTTCATAGTTAGTCCCATGGCAAGTCATGCCTTTCTGGGCTTTTATCCCCCGTAACTCTAACTGCGTAGGACCTACATCTACCATTGGCAAACTGGTTGAATTGGGACAAGTCACTTACCTATTGTAAGGGCCACAGTCCACACTCAGTGGAATTGGCTGGAATTAATCACCGACGAAGCACAGGGGCCACACTTATAATAAAATATAATCCATATTTCTACTTAGGAAAATAAACTATTTTTGTTTTTTCAAGTCAGAAACAGTATAAGCTAACATTGAGAGGAAGGATTTTTTCTCATGCTCATCCTATATATTTTTTAAGTGTATAAGGCATTGTACTATTATGGGACTGACAGTGCAGACTTCAAGGAGTCTGAATTTTAGGAGTCATAAGGCAATCCAAATATCCTCAATCAAAAGCAAAATATAAGTGTAACTCTTAATAAAGGTATAATGTACAAGGAAAATTTAGAGAAAGATGAATCAGAGTGGCATCAAGAAAAGCTTTTGAAAAAATAAAAGAAAAAAGAATTGCTCTTGAAGGGTAGATTGGATTTTGGCATGCAGAAGTGTATAGAAGATGCAGTGCTAACAAGATGGACATTCAGGGCTTAAAAAAAGGCAAAGTGGTCATTGACATGAAAGAGAACAAAATATTCAGAAACAGACAGTATTAGGGAACAGTCTGGAAAGCAGCTTAGAACACAGCATTCTCGAAGGTCTTAAACTGCTGAGATTGGACTTCACTATTAGACAGTAGAAAACCACTAAGCACATTGAAGTTTTTAAAAAAGCAAGGTAAAACATAATTTTGTTTGTATATATATATATATATATATATATATATATATATATCAGAATATTAAGATAAAGAATGGTCAGAAATAGAAGAAGAGTTATAAAAAGCTTTTAATTATCCAAGGTATCATCCAGTCAAGAATAAACTATATTAAAATGTTAGAAAATGACAGAATAGGATAGAAAAACTATGAAAGAAACAGAGAGGCCTTGGTGACATACTGGATACTGAACTGAGGAAGAAGTCATAGTAGATGTGCTTAGAGCTCAGGGAAAAACTACATAGTGAATGCATACTGTCAGGAAGGAGTTCACAAAGAAAGCAGATTAATTTTTCTATTTGTTAACCATTATTATAATCACATTCATTATGAAATTCATATATAAAGTGACTGTAAACCTGAGGATTATCATCATAGGCTAGTATGAAAAGGTTTTCAGTCAGGTATGTATAGATACTACTAGTAGTGCTGATAGGCCTTTTAAGTATGGGGAAGTGGATTGCTTTCCTTAGAATCTTAACTCCTTTCCTAGTATTTCGCCATTTACCAAAATGATGAAGTATCCAACTGTCACTTGCCAAGGCCTCTGCTAGCCCAAAATAATTTTCAAGAAGGATTTATAATCACCATTGACCACAAAGGATAAAAATACTTCAGTGGGTAAAATTTAAAATTTAAAATTTAGTCACTGCTAAGAAAACTGGATGTTTTATAGTTGATAATGCATAGAACAAGCTCACCTCAGCTAGTGGGTGATGTGTCATTAACGCTTGATGTAAAAATAAGAAAGGTATCAGTTGGGAGAGAAGTGTATCTCTCTAAACACTCTGTAGTAGGACACAGAGAAGACGAAAACACACCCTCATAGAACTTACCTGTGCAAACTTGTGAATCTGTTCTACTACTGCAGCAAACAGGGCATGGACACTTTCATCAATCAGACTCTGCATGTAATGCACGGCCTCTTCATCCGACAGGTCTAAGCGGAATTTATCCTGAACCTAAAAGATAACAGTCTGGTGATCTTTTTAATGAAGAAACACAGGAACATAATTTGAAAAGACAAACTGATATAGACATTATTGCAATCTATCATGAATTAATTCTACGCCAGTAAATAATTTACAACTTATAAAATGAGTTCTGATTGACATTCTTTTGAGTATGGAGGCTTACTGCTTTCAACAATAGAAAAATGGCATTCTTTTAACGCAAAGGTCTGCTTCATTTTATTACTATTCTGAGGGTTGAACTCAAGTCCTCATGCTTACTACACAGGTGCTCTACCAGTTATGCCATGCCCACAACCATTTTACATTTTGTTAATTTTGAGATAGGGTCTTGCTTTATGCTTGGGCTAGTCTAGATCACAATTCTCCTATTTGTACTTCCCACTTAGCAGAGATAAGTGTCTGTGCCCAAGCATTGGTTGAGATAGGGTCTCATGAACTTTATGACTGGGCTGACACTGAACAACAATCTCCTTTATCTCCACCTACCAAGTAGCTAGGATTACAGGTGTGAGCAACTATGCAAGATATGTTTTGTTTTTCTAATATTTCAGATCTACTATGTGACTGAAAGTGTGACATATTTATTAATAATCCCCATCATTTTACCCCTGAAATGTGAAATGATGTAGCAAGATGAGATTATATTAACAATCTCCCCCACCTTCACTGCCATAGTTCACAGGAACTATGTCAATCACTTGCAAACTAAACTAAACTAAATTAGATTTATAAAAATGTCTCCTTTGTGATAGCATTTCCCTGTGCTACTACAAAGAATTATTATGATAGGTCTATAATTTCCAAAGATAAGAGATTTTTTTCTTTTACTTTATGTTTAAAGTTATAGTTGATTTTTAACTAGAAAAATCAGCATGTGTCTGTCTGTATGTCTCAGATACCTGTGTGTTTTTTTTGTGCCCCAAAAAAGCAAAAGCCATGCTGGGCACAGACAGGCATGCCTGTAATCCCAGATACTCATGAGGCAGAGGTAGGAGGGTTGTGAGTTAGAGGCCAGACTGGGCAAAGTTAGTGAGACCTTATCTCAAAAACAAAATAAAAACTAAAGGGGCAGCAGGGGCATAGCTCAAGTAGTAGAGTGCCTGCCTAACCAGGGTGAAATTCTAGGTTCAATCCCCAATAGCCACAACTCCAAAAAGTCCAATGTTACTGAATGACTACTTTGTAAAACACTGAACAAAGCAGTATATTGGCAACATGTGTAACTCCTTGATGGCTCTGCAGCAGGTACTATGTCCATCTATTCAATGTACAAACCGAGATAGAGAATTTATGACGATAACTCAGAGACCCTTAACTGATAAGGGATAAAGAAAGGACAAACTGTTCAACAATCGATAGCCTCAGCTCAGTATACTGAATTGGAGTGATACCATGTGAATGGACAGCTTGGCAAGTCTTGGTAGAAGAGAGGTAAAAGGAAGGTAGACATAAAAAGTAAAGGGCAATTTGGTAGAGGCACATCTAAGGGTTTATCTCAGTTCTCTCATTACTGGATTATGATAACAACCATCATGTTCTTGAGTTTAACCCTTTGTTTTTCTTGATTTCTACCTAGGCAGTGTGTCTGACAACTTGGGAACTATTTTAAAGGGAATAAACTTTAACCCAATTTATCAAAGCTTGCATACTTACATAAGTGCCTAAATTATAGAGAGAGAAGATATGTATTTTGCACAAAATATTCTATATGCAATATGAAAACATTGTAAGGAGGTTTGATTGCATAGAGTTAATATAGGTATCATATTTGCTGACTTCAGTTAGGTTTCCTATTACTTTCCCATTGGTGCTTAAGGTTCTAAATCATTTTCTTCAAGCTATGCTCTGTCAGTTTATACAATTTCTATAGGTTTATCTTTAAACTCACTCATTTCTTTTAATGCCTTTCCCAATCTGTTGTTTAGGCTATAAACTCAGTATTTCATTATAGCCACTGTACTCAGCTCTAGAATTTTCATTTTGTTCTTTCTTCTTCCTGGTTGTTCTTTGTTGGAACACCCCACCCCATCTGTTAAGTCACTATATGTTTATTTTCCCTTAAGCTCTTGAATACAATTATAATGGCTACTTGACAGTGCTTTTCTGATAGGTGTAACATCTGGGTCAACTCCGGCATGTTTCTACTCATATATCTGTCTGTTTCTTCACATATATCTAGTGACTTTTTTTTTTAGTAAGTACTGCACAATTTGAACTGTATGTTATGGAAGAACAAATTAAGTTGTGTTCTGGTTAAGAGTCAGTACAATAGGCAGTTAAACTGGTCGATAAAAAATTCAAACACTAAGCAGTTTGGAAAACTCTGCTCAGATTTTAAACTTCTGGCTACTGCTTCATCATCTAATAAGATCTTGAGTTCTGCACGGTTTCATATTCAGTCAGGATTGGAAACATTTTCATGCAGATTAGGGGAAGGATGAGTTCACTTCCTCTGTGACTCTCATTTTTCCAGAATTTCTTTCCTAAATTTCTGGCTATTGCACTACCCTCAGACACTATCCTCTTACATCTCACTAGCATGCCTACACCCAAAACAATCTGGAATGCACTGACATGCAAAAGGTTATAAATTTATAAATCTTATCCATTGCTGTTCATCTTTCAAAGGCAGACACTTTTGTATTTATGTTTGGTTTTGGTTACTCCCCAGTCCTCCAAAGAAAACTGTTTATTTGTTACCATATTTTAATATTATAATCTGGATCAGTGTCTCTTTTTGAAATAAAGTACTCTAATGCTTAGTACATTGGTTATACAGTAGAATATCCTTCTAAATGGAACTACTACCGTTTTTCCCAATGATTCACATGCAATTTTGTGCCACACTGGAACCAATTCAACCACCATCCATTTGCAAGAAACAAAACAGCTTCTCTGAAAGATAGTCATTCCATCAGTAATAAAATTTCAGCAGTGGACAATTACATTTTGAAAAGAACATTTTACCATTACCCTTTACCAGCTCCTCAAATGATCTAAAAGAACAGGTGAGTCAAAACACATCCAGCTATGTGCTGCATAAACACATTTCAGTCAACAACAGACACACACATGACAGTCATCCTATAATATTATAGTGGTGCTGAAAAAGTCCTAGCACCCAGTGACATTCTAAGTCTTAATGTTGCAGTATAGAGCATTTCTCGTGTTTGTAGTTACACTGGTATAAATAAATCCACTTCACTGTTAGTGTATAAAAATATAGTACATGCAATTATGTATAGTATATAACATTTGATAATAAATGACATCATTGATTTTTGTATGTACTGTTTTACATTATCTTAGATTGTACTCTTTCTACTTAAAAAATTTTTACTCTAAAACAGTATGCCATGTTATACCAGCAGCAGCCTCATACATCTTGTGTTTACATCTCTCCATTACATCATTTTCTCTTGTATTGAGTTTAATACCTTCTCATTTTGTTCATCATGGCTCTACAGGCAATAAATTATACTAAAAATTCATACCATATCACCTAAGCATGTAGAGGCTATACCATCTGAGTTTGTGTGACTATACCCTCTGATGTTCACATGACAACAAAATTATCCAATAGTGAACTTCTCAGAATGTCATTAAGTAACACATGATTGTATTACTTCATTTTACTCTACGATATACTCTATGATATTTCAAAGTCAAATATTTGATTCTGTGCTTGGATGAGCTATCAAGCGCACATCAACAACTGATAATTCACAGACATACAGAGTTTTAGTAAACTTTAGGACTATTTGGCTCTACTTGCTTGTGCTTCCCATTGAATACAGTGGACATCTCTCTTGTGAAATGCTTCTGATTTCCTTTAAAAATTAAGCTACAAGTGTATGTTTTTAGTAACTCAGATGTGAAGTGTCAGGCTATAATGAAAATGTGTTGCCATTAATTAAAAGATGTTAAGTGTAAAACTATTATCTGAAAATGGGACTTAAAACTCAAGAATCCAGTTGTTATTTCCTAGACCTAGAAGGTCTACTTGAGTTGTGTTGAGACTAGAAATGTGTTGTAGAGCTTTGTTTGGGGAATGGCACTACATGCTTAAGAATGTACAAGCATAAAGAGTATACATCAAGAAGAACAGAGTATAGATATGTCATAAAAATTTAACTTTTTAATTAATTTTATTAGCCTCAATTTAAATACATTTTAAAAACTGGAAATGCAACATCTTATTTTTCTTTAAAAATATGTAAATATAAGTTGGGTGTGGTGGTACATGCCTATAATCCCAGTGCCAGGGAAACTGAGGCAGGAGGATTGTGAATTTGAAGCCAACCTGTACTACATGGTGAGATCCTGTCACAAAAAGTGTAAACATTTAATGATTACCAGATAGAAATAAGTGAATATGTTTCCTTAAATTTGAAGACTTATTTAAAACTGTATGATTCTACTCTGTCCCTGAGAATTTAACATGGTGTGTAGAAGGACAACCATTCCTAAGAAATAAGGGCCCTTGCTATTCAATCTGTTCTTCTGACAAATCTTTGATGGCTGATACTATTTGTTTTAGATCTTATATTTCAGGCAACAGAGATAATTCCACGGATGAGGAGATTTTTAGGAGTCAGAATTTAACCGTCATGAAAAGCTGTGCTTAAAATAACTCAATGTTTAGCATCTCTGAAAGAGTAGCTTCCATTAAAAGAAAGACTTTCCCCCATTAAATTCTTCTTACTTAAAAAAGAAGATTCAGAAAAAAATGTTTTCCTGCACCAATTTTTTAATAATTTAACCACAAAAGTAATTATAAGAAATGAATAAATTTAGTTCATCAGGGTAAAAGGAAAAAATTTAATCTAGATTATTTTCTTGCTGAGTTCATTTATTACTTGAGAGGTATCAGAATTAAAAGAAAACTCTTGGTTTATTAAAAACCAAAATTTAAAAGAATAATTTTTTAATAATGAAAACTAAACTCGCAAACTTAACTATTGCTAAAAAGGAATCAATGCTGAAAA